TTCGATTCGACACGAGGGTTGAGCCTGTGTATGGGTACCTGCGGAAAGGGGTTTTTCAGGCGAAATCGTCGCATATCAAGAATTGTTTAACATTGTAGCTCTAATACAAAGCTCAACGCAACCACAACAACGACAAAAACGAGTAAATAAACAAAACAAAAACTTCTGAACGTGCAGCACAATGTTTGGCCGGCTTCTCTGTAGTCATTGAAAGATTAACTTTGTCAAAAGGGATGGAAATGGTAATGCGATAGTTGCATCTCTAAGATCGTAGCTACTTCGATTTCGGTGGCAATGTCCATGCAGAGGCTTACGTCTTTTTCTTATTTTTTAATGCATAAGGGGTCAAAATCGTTTGCTACTTGTTGTACCAGAAAATAGGTCGTGAGGCATCCAGACAACACCTCCAATTTTAACAGTGTAGGTGAAAAAAGTGTGATTTTAAATAGTTTAGGATTTGGTGGAACCTGGTACATTTACATTATGGGATCGAGTCAGTTAAGATAGCCTTAATTCGTCAATAAGGATACAAATTAAAGCATGAATCTCGACTTTATGTTCTCAAGTTATTCCACAAAACATCACTGCGTTGCCATTGGCTATTAATCTTTTGCTAGTTAGTAAAGAATTGTTTTTACGCCATGGTTGTCACTATACCATGGTGAAGAGCTGATGGTCACACCCAGCGGTCACAGCCATCGGAAAAACTACGCCAACTTTTGGCCGAACGTGGTGTGCGATGAAAAAACCATGATAACATGCACAAGCTGTTACCGTTGTACTCTATTGTGACAAAGGGAAAGACTTTACTGCTTTTTCGCTTGGTCAGCTTGTTGCTATACTTAGTCTAACATTTTTTACCGTGAGGCCTGCACCGTCCCCGTAGGTCTTACGGCCTTTTTTAAGCCCATAGAACACCTTCATACTGCGAATAGGCCACTTGCACGATGGTGTCATTTTACTACCACTGTAGTGTCTTACGGATTTAACCAAGGATTGAATCGAATTTAACCGCCAACACACACACCATTGCTGCTCGTGCAAACATGTGTATTCAATCATCATAACAGTCAGAGCGCATGCCCGATTATACAAACATGGGGGAATGGGACGGGAGACCTAAGTATTCACGTATACTACAACTACGACCAGAATTCTTTTGGGTTTTCTTTTCATATTTAAATTTGGTAGCCCCAGTGAAGTTTAAATAACAAAAGCCTTAATTTGCACAAGACAGCAAAACCCTGAAGGATCCTTGTCATAGTAGTAAAATGACGCCATCATTCAAATGGCCTATTGTTTTGTACAGATTGACCATTTTGATTTAATTTGAGTTTAAATTTTAAAGGACGCACTTTTTTTTTTTGTTAAAATAAATACTTTTTTGTTTCAAAACTGAGGAGACATGTACATATTAATGTAGGTTACGAATTTTCGTTTGCTGTAGGAAATTGTCAAACAGCATGATCGAGGAAATCCCGCATGGAATTTTCGCAGACCTCTCTTCATTGCATATTTTGTAAGCTGTAATCACATTTGTATTTGTAGCTGTTTGGATCCACAGACGATCGACATTTTGGCTACGTACAGGTTCTGACAATTAATTGCTTGGACATATATATTTTCCTAAGTAACAATGGCAATGCAAAGTAATTGCAATTGCAATTGCCGAGCAAAAACATCAAACATAACGTTCACCCACACCTGCCACGGCAAACGTTAATTTTCCGTTAAATTTCATGTTGACGAAGAAACTGGATCGGGATTCAAGACCACAATCAAAACAGTGGCGGAATCGCACTAAAGTCCCTGAGATTTATTTGGGTTAATTTACAATTGCTTAATATGCTATTACAACTGTGACGATCGTATCTTGTATTTCTACAGTTTACGTTATCTTTATTTCATGTTTCATTCCCCTCAAGGATTAAAAAAAGAAGTCAAACAATTGGCTTACTGCTAAAGTTTGGGTCTTCATAGCTCAGTTGGTGGAGCACTGCAGCAATTTTGTTGAGGGTTCTGGAGGATGATGGCTCGCTTTCGTGGAATGCGCCTCTGTGAAATGCCGCAGAAATATCTGTTCTTGCATTAACACAACTTTTCTGGACTTCCATCAACCTCTCCATGCAGTGATAGATTTCACTAAGAATACGTATTTTAGTCACTATGTCACTGATTGTATTTTCTGAACTATGCACACAGAACACATAAAACAAAAAATAATGAAAGCTGAATTAAATTTGTGAGCCTGTTTCCCAAACATATTTTTTATTTAAAAAGAGAAAATGACATATGAACGTGGAGGGATAGTTTTCCCACATTTCATAATTAATTTACTATACTTTGTTACAGGAATTTGTCGAACAACATGGTCAAACAGCTCGTACCAGGAGTATTTGCAGATCTGTCTTCGTTGCAGTTCTTGTAGGTATCACAGTCTGCGTACCTGTGTCTTTACGCACATCCACTTTTATAAGTAGAGCAATGTCAAATGCCACAGTTACCGAGGCAATGAAAGTGGTGAAACTAAATAAATACGAATATATTCACCCAATTTGTCTACATTACGTCACAATACAAAAAATACCAAAAAAAAATAATGATGATAATAGTAGTTTACTATATGCAAACTTTAGGTCATCTTAAATTGGTGTTTTAAGCACCCTAATTGGCTCACTCTCTAGGGATATTTACGAAATATTGAGTGAGGCCGTATATGGAGTAAAGAATTACGCAGATCGAAGAGATCTGCATCTATGAAGGCATTAAAGGACTTTGGAATGTTAAAATATATAAAGAGAGAACTGGTCGTATGAGAACAAGAACTGTTAATTTATTTGACAGAACTACCACTGAATCAGGTTTTTTATTTCAGTTCAATGCACCCCAAGGGTGTCAATGTTTAGAACTTGGTTGCTGTTCTGAAACAGCTCCTAGAAATGCCAGCTAGTATATGCAAGGGAAGAGATCAGCTTAGAATATGCTGTGCGAATGTACAATCTCTCAGGAACAAGTCGCCTGATTTTCTGTGTTATGCATGTACAATGAAAACGGATATTTTCGCAGTGACTGAGAACTGGTTTTCTCAGCATGATATTGGTCATCGGATCACCTCCTCCGTTTAAAATTATAAACCATTCTCGCGTAAGCCGCACTAGTGGTGGGGTGAAGCTTTCATTTTCAGGTTTTTGTAAGATAGCCGCTTGTGTTAATTTAGGTGTTACGTTGAAGGGGTGAAGCGGAGTGGAGAATGCTGCCGTTGCTGTCGAAGAATCTTGGGTGCTTGACGTTAAGTCTGGAACAGTTCTGGTTATTTTTTCCGGTCGTGTTCTTAAATTTAATTGTTCTTTAAAAGCCAGTTATTTGTTTCGCAACTGAAAGTATCTCTTAGCTTTTTCATCGTCCCAAAGATCGTTTCGAGAAAGCAAGTCATCCATGTTGCCCTGTATTTCTTGCATAGCTGGAAGAAGTGGGACAGGCGAAAGATTTTGCTGCTTTAGATATTTTAAAAGCTCTTGAGGAATATTGAAACCCTGCTTTTTTAAAACCTTCTTCAATAGACAGGAAGTTTGTTCACATTCGACAAGTATCTTGGGTAGTAGTTTCCGGATCAATCAGCAGATAACCAAAAGGTCTTTTCACAGCCTCTTCGTACTGATTTAAAAAGAAATCAGTTTGCCCGGGATACATCTGCTTGGCGAAAGTCAAGATTTGCAATTTGTCTCGTGGATTCTTGAATAGCACCAAATAATGGCTGTTTAGGTTTCTGCTGCGACTACCTTTCCCCTGGTGAAATAGATTCTGCACGACATAAATCACTCTTAGATTACGATGATGAGAACCACGAGTAAAGAGAATCACAATTCGCTTGTCTCTACTAGTGTCAATCATTTTATCATCGAGCGCGATCATATTCCGTTTATTCACATCAAACTAGGAATCCTGCTCCAAAGCCGTAGGAATTTCCTTGACGAATTCAATGTGTGGCATGGCGACTAGCATTTCTATAAAGGCAGGCCGCCATTGTGAATAACACCAAACAATCCTCTCCGGGGGAGGGTAAATTGTCTCTGGAGCTTGTTGAAATAGAGATCGAACCTATGCCGTTTTTCCGGACACGGTCATTCCGGAAATCATGGAGGTAAAAGGATGCTCGAATCGAAACCCCTAACATTTCAGTGAAAACGGAACTGTTTGAAATGGGGTGCGACCAACATTGCGGTGTTTAGACATCACGTGCCCTTGCATGCTATCCTTTCTACTAAATGATTTTTCGCAAACGGAACAGAACCAACTCATGTCAACTCCTCAGGAGCAGAATATAGACTGAGAAAATGGTAGCATGTTGCGTATTGATATAGTTTTGAAGGCCATAAAATTCTATATTTTTCCTCAACCACCACCACCATCACCACCATCACCACCACCACATTTCTATTGTGTTTCTCCACCACCATCACCGCCACCACAATTCTATTGTTTTCCTCCACCACAACCACGACATTTCCATTGTTTTACGTCACCACCGCCAACACCATCACATTTACTATTTTTTCCTCCACGACAGTCAATAAAAGACTGCAAACTAGTATCATAAGTTCAGTTTTTCGCAATGTCTCACGTTGTCAAGAACAATCGTGGTTTTCTTCAACTCTTAGCTGTTTGTCCAGCTTATCAGCGACAGATTCTTTTACGGACAGCCAGTCCACAACAACTACATGCATTAGTCCAAGTCTTATACAATATACTTAAGGAATGCATTCTTATCCCCGAAGAAAATAAGCGGAACGTGTTGCCATATAAGGAAGGTCTAGTAAAACTAACAGAAACAAATGTCCCTTACAAAACAAAAAGGCGAATCCTCGTACAAGAGGCTGATGGTTTTATTCAAGACCTATTGCTACCTGCTGTTACAAGTTTAGGATTTTTGATGCTATAAAAGAGGAAACGAAACTATAAGTTACTCATTTGAAGCCTACGTTCCACCTGTACTTATCGCGATGAAGAAAAAGATAGACTTGGTTGATGAAGAGCACGGGAGCGAGGATGAAGAAAACGAAATTTCTAATGATGAAAGCGACGATGAAGAATCAAGAATAAAAAATGTTTTGAGTCATCTCTCCCAAGCGGTTTCGGTAAAGCGTGCTTCCGAATTGCTGCATAGTATGGCCGCTTCCAAAGATCTTTTATTCTGGATTCCCCGCGGACAATTACTTCGAAATAAACGTATAATTTCCGTCACAAACATTGCCGTATTACTTGAGTATGTGTTACTACCTCATAACAGTGACGTAACCAAACCTCGTGCACTGAATACGTTCCTAGATGGACTTGCGGAGTTAGGAATCGATAAGGGTTTAATCAAGAACAAAAAGTTGCTAAGTGATTTAATAGAAAAAGAAAAAGACTATCGAAAGACATTCTGTGAATGGCAATGAAGATGAAGACACCCAGGAGAGGGACAACGACACTTAAAACGATAGTGAGGAAACAGAAAGTAGTAGCCCTGAAACGTCCACCATTATTCACTCTGAAAATCTCTGTGAACATTGCGAGAACTCTAATGTGTACGGGACCTTGATCATGAAATGCCCAAATTGCTTTTGGCACGATTACTACAAAATTTGTCCTACATGCGATCACCAGTTCCCCGAGGAGAGAAATTACATCAAAGAGGGCTTTCTACGGTGTCACGATTGTGGAGCAATTACACACAAAACGCGAAGGCGTTGGAAACCAATTTTTATTTCCCGTCTAAAGAGGAAAACGAAAAGGAGGATTAATTTCTATCCCTGTCTAATCTCTGTGTATGACTCTTTTTGTCACTGGTTTTCAATAAAGTTTTTAAAACTGTATCTCGTGTCTTGTCAATTTATTTGTCGCGTGTTTTAATCTTGGATCTTGGGTCCCCTATTATTCTTAGTATATATAAATGATCTATGTAATGTGTCAAAGGTCTTAGAGCTGATACTATTTGCAGATGACACTAATATCTTCTATTCGCATACTGATGCTTCCTACCTTATGGAAGTTGTAAATTTAGAATTGAAAAAGATAACGCGTTGGTTTTATACAAATAAGCTATCTATTAATGTTAAGAAATCTAATTTTATGATATTCAGACCGAGACAAAACAGGCAAACACTTGATTTAGCTTTTAATATTAGTAATTATTCGATTGACCGTGTTAAGGAAGCCACTTTTCTTGGTGTAATTTTGGATGAACATTTAAAATGGAAATCACATATACATAATGTTGCTAGGAAAGTGTCTAAAGCCATAGGTATAATTTATAAATCAAGTTTTTGCCTTAATAATTCCTCCTTAGGGATGCTTTATTTTAGCCTTATCTACCCATACTTATTCTACTGCGTGAGCGTCTGGGCATCGACCTACCCATCAAACCTCAGAAGATTAATCACACTTCAAAAACGGGTCGTAAGAATAATGTCGAGGAGTGCTTTCGATGCTCACACTGACCCCTTATTTAAAAATTTAAAAATTCTGAATCTTGAGAGTATCTACAAACTTCAAATAGGAAAATTTATGTATCAATACAGATCTGGCTTACTTCCTTATAGCTTCAATAACATGTTTCTGGTGATACGCGAGGTGCATTCTTATGGCACTAGAAGTTCGGAGCATTTTTATTTACCACAATGCAGGACTAATATAAGAAAGTTCTCCATCAGTTTCCAAGGTCCTAAATTTTTTAACTCTCTTAGTTTTGAAATTCGAAATGCAACAAGTACCGCTTCCTTTTGCTGTAAGCTGAAAGCATTCCTCTTATCATAAATAGTAATTTATATATATGTATTTGTTTTTTCTTCCTTTGCTCTTTTATTTTCTTTTGTTTTGTTTTTTTCTTTTTGTCATTTCGCTTTTTTTAGCCTAGAACTATGATTAGTACGACTATCTAATATACTTATTTTAAGATTTACTGTAGCTCTGCCATTGATTTTCCCGTGTGTAATTATGATAATATTTTGTTCTAATTATCTAACTGAGGGAGCCCATTCCTTATAAGCCCGGTGGCTTCTCTTGGGCTTCCTCGCCATGAGAGTTAAGGTAATTAGATTTTATTTGATTTGTATAATTTTTTGGCAAACAAAACAATAAACAATAAACAATTTAATTGATCCTTGGTAAGTTATTGTTTGTGTTTTTATAACAATAAGTCAAGTTTCTCCCTTGGGGTTTTTACTGTAGAGCCAATTGGTATTCAACTGTGGGCTTGTTAACCCGCATAATTAATTGACTAACGGCGCGTGCTCCTTGCCTACTAAAAATAAACTATGAAATGATCCAATCTTGATGAGATGTATGACGTCGTTAACAGTAATTTATGCCACTCAAAAAGTTAATTAAATCCACAAAAAGCCGGAGTAAAACCTCCCTCCTGTACTACTAATGACTGGTGATTTTAACATTCATGTTGTTGTTCCTAGTGATATTAAACATACACGCCTGTTGGGTTAGTTGCAGTCCATTGGTTTGCAACAACATGTTGATAAACTGACCCGGGTGTCCTGCCATATCCTGGATCTAGTGATTACAAGGGATGTAAATGAGCTAATATCAACAACTCCTACTGTAGATTACCACTTCTCTGGTCACTTTACCCTGATCTGTGATTTGAGAAACCATCGTTTATCGTCAAGGAGATAGCCTTCTGGAAAATTAGGAGTACTGACGCAGAGTCATTCTCGCATAATGTGCTCGGCCCTTAGTCGAGACAGTACTGATTACCTTAAAGATTTGGGTACTTTGTACAACAGAACATTATCCAAGATAGTAGATCTTCATGCACTACTGGTAACAAAGACGTTCATAGAAAGACCTCTTGTACCATGGTAGAATGATGGAGGTCAGGTCAGGGGTAATCCTGCTGCTAGCTGGTGAAAAGAGGGTAGCATGCTACCCTCCAGGACTTAAAATAACACCTAATAAGTGACGGATGAGCTCGTTCGCGTACCAACGGCCAACATGCAAGAGACATGACAACATACAGAAACTAAGGTTTAAATTGTATCCTACCCTCCAAAAGCATCCTCACCATCCAAGTGTCGCCGCAGACAGGGGGCAAAGCGGAAACAGTCTGCAGCTACTCCTTCCGAATAATAATAACTCAGACAAGGGAGGTGGTAATCATCATTAGTCTGACTACATCAAGCATCAACCGAAAACGAAGAGGTCTGCTGCGGCTGATATAGACCAAATCTCCCTTAGCAAGCCAATTATCATATCAACTTATAATGTCAGGTCCTTATACCAGCTGGGCAAGTTAAATCAGTTGTGCTGCGGTAGAGGCAGGCGGTAGAAGCAGGTCTTGAAATCACTGTCGTAGAAAAGCATCGCCTTATCTCATTCACTCTGATAACAGAACTGTGGTCTGATGACAAGAAGTGACTGTTCATCCAAAATTTCATTTCCAAATGCCGAAGGGGTTGCGGCCTCCTTGTTAAAAGACAATTGGTCAAAAGCATCTCCGGTTCAAAACACCTATCGGACCGCATCATCTCTGTATTTCTCAACGGCAACCCGAGACTCGTGGTTACAATAGTGTACGCTCCAAAAGAGTCGGTTAACACCGACGATGATTATCAATTCTACAACCTGCTCAACACCCATACATCCGACAAGGTCAACTGTCACGATATTGATCTTGTTATTGGAGATTCTAAACGCTGACTAGGCCAAGGCAATCTCGAAAAAGCACCGAGAGTTGTGGGTTCTCACAACAAGCATTAACGGCGAAAGACTTCTCAATTTCTGCTTTGCAACTAACCTTGGACTTGATTAATCCAGGGACTAACTCTGTCAGGAATTATAAAACGTACAATAGTGTAGAGCTCGACTTCGACCACCGCATCCTAACTGTGACTTTTAAAGTGAGTCTTAGAGCTACAAAAGGTAAACCTGTAAGTCGCAAATAATACAATTGGAAGAGACTCGCGAATGCTGCGCTGACATCAGCATTTCTGCTAAAGCTACCGAACAGCTAATCATCATCAGGTCCAGTCAGCTTTAAAGAATAACAAGAAACACTGCAGAAGAGGTAGTTGGCAAGTGAGTTTCAAATGGCTTACTAAACGTGGTCTCCAAAGAAACAAGACTTGCGGAAAGCTCGAAATGACACCAAAAGCAAGCACCTGCTCCTTAACACAGCCACCTCCAGGAAGAGATTGAAGGATCTGAACAGGTCAAAAAGAGGGAGAAGAGTGACCCAATTAGTCACCAAGAACTTCTCGATGAATGGAAGAAGTACCGTAGCACTCTTCTGAACAACACCACCGCTATTGATACTGCTAGACCACAGCCAGATGAACCGGTTCTCCCAATCCACACAGCCTAACCTACATTAGAAGAGATGAAAAGGCGATCAAGTCTATTAAGTTGAACAAGGCAGTTGGACTATACTGCCCCATCACACCTGAAGTCCGGAAAATGGAGGGTGAAGCCACGTTTCAGTTGTTCACAGCTTCTGTTTCGAGGTATATACAAAGAAGATACTCCGGGAACAGTGGATTACTAACCTTGTTGTCCCCACCTAAAAGAAGGGTGACCTATCCCTGATGAACAACTATCGTCGGATTAACCTTGTGTTTATCTGCGCTAAGGTCTACAATAAGATCTTACTAAATGGAATTCAAATCTTCATACATCCAGTCCTAAGACGCAACTCAACCGGTTGCACTCGTGGGAGCAGCTGCGCACAACAGATTCGTACTCTTCCACGAGATATTCAAAGCCTCCAGGCAAACCAGGTCCAGGAATTCAAATCTTCATACATCCAGTCCTAAGGCGCAACCAAGCCGGTTGCATTCGTGGGCGCAGCTGCGCACAACAGATTTGTACTCTTCGACGAATTATTGAAGGCCTCCAGGCAAAACAGTTACCACTAGTGGCCAAATTTATAGAAGGAAGGCTTTTGACTCCATCAACCAAGAGTCTATGTTTGCCATACTGCGCCATTATGTCATCCTATTAAGATCGTTAGTGCAATCAGATTCCTGCGTGACAGTTCCAAACACTGCCGTTTGTTGATGGCCGTATGTCCGAGAGCTTCGAAGTAGCCACCGGTGTCCTCAAAGGGGGCGTCCTAGCCCCATTTATCTTCATTGGTGTCTTAATCTGTGCTATGTGACAGGCCACGATTAAAGGTCATAATAGCGACGTATTGACACATTCAAGAGGTCAACCATCAGGCAAAGTTCGTAACTGACATTGACTATGCCGGCGAGATATGCCTTCTAGAATCTTCCATCGAAAGAGCTCAGGTGAAACTGTCCTTACCGCGGAACCAGCGGCCAGCATGGGTCTCCTTATCAACACTAGCAAAATAGAGTACATGTCCCTTAACTGCCCTGGGAACCACAAGCTAAAAGTGAGGTCAGAAGCCCTAAACAAAGGTAAACGACTTCCGCTAACTACGATCCATGGTAGCTGGTATTGTCAACGACTTCAAGGGCCAGAAGGCTCTTGCTTGAACTGCATTCTGGAGCCTCGAGAAAATCTGGTATTGACAGGCAATACCTTTGGACCTGTTTAGAAGTTGTCTTTTCGTTCTACTGTATGACTACGAGACGTGGATAATGACCAAAGACATGAGTGCGAGACTAAATGCTTTTGCCACCTCATACTATAGGATCATGTTGAACACCATAAGTCTGGAAAAAGTCTCAAAAGTTCGAATCTACGATCTCACTGACACTATCCTTATGCTATAGACGGTCATGTCAAGTCAGCTCAAGTTCTTTGGCCACATTTTGCGCTTTGAGAAGGATAAACCCGCTGACATTTACACTTTGCAAAAAATGATAATGATGATATCAGGGATGCCCGGGAAGAGCGATGGAGGGCAGAACGCAAATGGCGTTGGACAAGGAATTTGTCTGTTCTCGCTATTTTCAAGGACAAAAAGAACTATGCTACTTATCTCATGAGTAAGGAAAGGAAACAATTCTATACAAATTTCATTACTGAGGATAGTTAAAAGGAAAGAGATCTCTTCAATGCTACTTAAAAATTGTTGAAGCAGGAAAGGAAATTTTTTCCGACCCTTCAAAGATTGGCTGCAATTGGCTAATGAGATGAGGGACTTGTTAAAAAGATCTGTGATATTCACTTGAAATTGGTTCAAATGACGGAGGAGTTGCCCAGCTGGGACTCCCTTTCCCCTACAAATTATTGTGGGTCTGTTGCTACTATGCAAACATATTTGCAACTTACACATAGCAAAGTACGAGGCCTGTATCTCAGCTCGCAAAGAAAACGCGTATGGTTTGTCCTATCCCAACACCTCCTGTTGTGAACTGCCTGGAGGTGTTACTTGCCGATCTATCTTTAATGTCTGGTCACTTTGTTGATGGACAGGCTCGACCTGTCGTAAAAGGATTACAGGCCCATCATTAATCTTCATTATGTTTCTGTTTAAGGATAAAGGGCTATATTTGATCAAAGTCGTGAACGTATGCTTCTGAGCCGCATCTATTCTGTTTTACAGTCATCATATCGTGCTGGACACCGTATTGAAACGGCTTTGTTAGAGGTTATGAATGACATCATGCTTTCGATGAATTCAAAATGTAATGCTTCTTGTATTATTAGACCTTAGTGTGACTATTGAAACTGTCAACCACGAGATCCTCGTCAATCGGCTTCAAAACAAAGTTGGGCTCCAGGGGACAGTCCTGAACTGGTCCAAACCATAGTTGATAAATAGAAGTCAGTGGGTATCTACCAGTAGACCACTTTCTGGATGCTTCAACCCGGGCCTCTATAATTCATCATTTATTCATCTCAGTTAATTGACGTTATAGAAAAACACTCTCTATGTGTTCATGGCTTTAGTGGTGATTCGTATCTTAATGTAATATTTCAAACCAGAAGGCCAGCCCGGTCAAGATGCTGCATACGGACTATCGAAAAGTGTATTGCGGATATCCAAAGCTGGATGATCGATGATAGACTCCTAATTAATGATGACAAGACTGAGGTGTTATTAATTGTGACTGTCCGCAGGATTTAGATGCTAAAGGTGAAAGTAGGCACACGACACGCTTGCACTTTAAAACAACTATAGTTTAGCACGCTTCTTCATTTTTTTCGGCACGGTTTCAGGATCTAAACTGATGTTTTTCTTGTAGTTCTCCGCAAAAAGTAGATAACGTAATAATTCATTTTTAATTTTTAAATTTTAAATTTTAAAATTTTTAAAACTAAACTAGTGAGCAGCACTCTGCGAACTGTTCCTGTAAAACTTGTTTATTCTCCTACACGTTTCGTCTAACTAATTCGTAGACTTCTTCAGGGAGTTTTACAATCAAACACTAAACGCCTGTATTTAAGCCATAATGACTAAAAATAATGATGGGCGCAAACATTGAAGGTTTGGCCGGATTTACGAAAAGGAACAGGCGCAGCTGTGAAATTTTTTATGCAAGGCTTGAGAAAACTTTGGGGCCACGGTTTTACTCTGCTCACTAGTTTAGTTTTAAAATTGTCAAATCAATACTAGTAGAAGCCACATGGCGAACGCAACTGGACCAAAACGTCGTCGGATCCAGAGCCAAATCCAGTATATAGCTCTCCCAACAGCCTTGAATCCACTATCGAAACTGTCCTTAGAAAGGCAGTTCGCATGCGAGATGATGGCGATAAAGCCCACTCCAGTCTCCTTGGCAGGATTAAACTGCAGGAGGAACACGCAGCTCAAGGCACTTCTCCATCTGGCCTCATGATAAAAAAAAGTCCAAGCAAAAGTTCAAAACGCGGATGCACTTCAAGCCAAATTTGACGGCATTGTCCGCGAGGCAGAAGTTCAATTGCTGGAGGCTACAATTGATCATCTCCGCTCCGAGGTTAAGGATCATCAGGAGGCAATCCGTGCTACTACTGCCAATATAGATGGCACTATTGCGCGCTGGAAGGAGCAGCTTCTGAAGAACGATATCTCGAACGCAAAAGCGACCAGTCTCGTAGAGGCCGCCGTAGCATTTGTGGAGAAGTTATCCAAAGATACTGCGGTCTCACGGGCTTCCAAAGCCCTCCAAGCGGAGATAAGCCGAACGGCAAAAAACAGAAGTCAGGCAATGATGGACGATAGCGAGGTTTTCGTTCCCTCGGAAGAGTCTATTAGAGATATTATTCGAAACGAGCTCCGCGGTCTTACTTCAGGCACTGCGAGCCCTAGCACGGAAAACCGGCAGCGGAAAGTTTCCATATCCGAAAGAAGGAATAATGGCGAGTCGAAAGGCAAGTCAGGTCGAAATAGATCCGCAAGTCGCGCTCAAGCCCAGCAACGCGAAAGGTCAACCTCTGCCAAACGGTCTAACCGACCTCAAAAGGCGTCAATAAACGCCCAAGGAAAAGGTTCAAGCCACGTAAAATAGACAGACGCTCGGCGCTGGAAAAATGGTTATTCAAGATGGCTAAACGACCCCTATACGACTTGCTTCCACGGAATTCGAAATTCATAATTTAACCTCTCTCAAGCTAACTGAGCGGCAAGCTAGAGTTCTGGGCATGGGTCTAAAGTTTAGACCCTCGCTTCTACCACCTAGCCAAGCTCAGTTTGACTTACAAATCCAAGACTTCTGTCGAAGAGTTCGCCTTCAGGATAAATTCGCCAACTGCCCGCCAGACAAGGACTTCAATCCCAGATTGTACGACCCAGCGGGCTGGAATCCGCCTCGGGAAGATCCCGATCTTGAAGACAAACTCTTCGCGTTACGCAAGGAGCTGCTAAAAAAACCATTGTGGCTGGCAAACCGCATTGGAGTAACAACCTCACAAAGCACGAGCGAGAGGAACTTAGCGAGTTGAAATCCAACCCTAACATTAAGATTTTGCCCACCGACAAAAATCTCGGGGCGGCTCTTGTTTCTACGGATTGCGTTCAAGCTGAGACACTAAGACATTTGCATGACGAGTTGTCATATCATAAAGTCACGCAACAGGACTGGTATGCTAATCGTCTTAATGTAATTAATTCTCGCGAAAAGCTTATGACGATTTACAGTAGATTTATTTCCTCTAGCGTAGCTCGATTTTTGCGTAGCTTTGATCATTTTGATAGTCCGGCTAAGTTTTATGTTATCCCTAAGATACACAAAAACTCTATGGTTGGGAGACCCATTGCCGCTTCCCATTCCTTTATTACTAGGCCTATTAGTACTTTTGTTGATGAGCTTATTAAGCCTAAAGTACGCATGCCTACGGTACTTAGGGACTCAAAGTGAGCTGACTCAACTGCTGGAAAATACGGTCTTGCCCGATGGAGATTGTTTCCTTGTCACGGCGGATGTCGCATCGCTTTATCCGAAGGTTAACACTAAGAAGGCGCTTATAGCCCTTGACCTTCTCCTTCGTGAAGCAGGGGCTCCAGAGACCCCACTTTTGATTCAGCTCGCCCGGCTTGTTTTTGAAAACAATTATTTATCTTCGGAATTTAGTCCGGATATTTTTTATCAAAAGTTTGGGATTGCTATGGGCGCTCCTTTTTCTGTCACAGTGGCAAACGCGTTTATGTATCATCACGAAAAGGATATGGTGGATCATTATTCCCAATATCGTATTTTATACAAGCGTTTCATTGATGACATTTTTGCTATTTGGTGCGGGCCTAAGGCCTAAGGACACCCTGCTAGAATTTTTGGGCGCTCTCAACAGCAAAGATCAACGTACTCAGCTTACTCACTGTATTAGCGAGCTTAGCATTTCTTTTCTGGATCTATTTCTCTATAGAGATGGGTCTTCAAGTGTGCTGCAGTTTTCCACCTTTCAGAAGCCCCTAAACAAATACCTATATGTACCCTTCGAGTCGTTTCATCCTTCTAGCAGTAAGAAAGCCTTTATTAAAGGGGAATTAATGACGTATGCTAGAAACAGTTCTTCCTTTAAATTTTTTCGGAGACTAGGGAAAGATTCTGGAAGAGGCTACGGTTGAAAATTGATGAAAATGATGCATTTTTGTTTCGCTCGTGCTGGTAAACGCGATAACATCTAGCAATGTACTTTTGATATATCATGGTACTTCACTTGCTCTTCCTAAAACACTAGATTACTTTTGAAAAGCTGTCAAATTAGTCTTATTTCTGGCCGTTTTAGTTACCCCACTTGAAGCGCGTGAGCGACGGGACTAATTTTTGCTTACTTCTACTCCAACAAAAGCCCACTGATACATAGAATTTGAGGCCAAAACTAGTATGAGCTTAAAGCACATCCTTTATACTTTGTTGTGAGAAAATGGTTTCCGCGGCCCGCAAAAATTGTCCCGCAGAGAAACGGAAACGTGAAGGCCATTTTGCCACATAAATCAATTTACGGAGCAACATGTTTCCCTACATACCTGCGCAAACAATTAAAAAACTGCTCTGAAAAACCTTCCACATGTTTCTTAGCGCTTGAATATCGGATAATGGACACATATGTAACAGTTACCTTTTGATTTTCAACTCATTGTATCAAATAAGTGCTAAAAACGCTTCCATTGCAGACTCGTGTATGTCAACACCGAGCTAATATTAAACCACCAAACCAATCACATCGAAACAACCATTTCAACTTCGGTTCGTTCCATAACAGGGATTCTATTTTTCAAAGCCTATATTTCTTGTAATATTAAAAGTTTATAAGTTTGTAATAAGCTGTTTGATCGACCATCTTCCAAAACAAAGAAATTGTGAGTGGTTTTATAGCTTTCAGAGGGTGAGGACAAAACATGGACCAGGGGTCCATGGACCCCCTCTTTGGACCGGGTCCATGGACCACTTTCATGGATCGGGTCCATGGACCCCCTGTCATGGACCAGGTCCATGGACAGTTTTTTTTATTTTTAAAAGAAGGTTTTGCACCAGGTCCATGGACACTCAAAAACAGAAATAGTGCCAAAAAAAGATTTCACGAGACGCTGTCGACCAATGCTCACGATTGATCACAAATA